ATTGTGGTGGTGACAAGTGTCTTCATGAGCACTTCCCCACTAAGAAATAGAAYGAGGTCAGCAGCTCCTCTCCTACTGACCTCTAAACAGAAACTCCTGCTAGAACCTATTAGCCCTTCAGTCACTCGGTAGGTAGTGTGTGTGCACCCTAACCCCTGGCATCTATTGCCCTAGCAGCCTAAATTATTAGCAAAATATACTATTCAGATACTGCACTCCTGACATCTCCCTTTGCTTGAATAACTTCTAGTTATGTCAATGAGGCTGTTGTATTAAATGAAGAGAAGATTAAAAGCTTTTATTTATATATGCAACTGGCAGCACATTTCTGGCTCTGTGACTGTGCCATCACAGCTACTCAGTTGTACAGACGCCTGCCTGGTGACAGCCAGCTCTGGCAGAATGTCATGGCTGGTTCTGATGAACACTATCAGAAGGAAACAGGCAAAACTTGGGAAGATTTTGCACAGCACTGTTTGCCTTTTGAGATTTCCTGCTATTAGAAAGAGTGGTTGCTTAAATGGGATTCATCTGCCCTACCTCTGGGCATCTTAAAGTTAGGCAGCTACTTCAAGTAAGTTACTGAGGCTCCCTCTTTCTATAAAGAGAGGCCCAGAACTCTAGGTAGGCACTAATCTTGGCATAAAACAGGATTTTGAGGAAGATGCTTCTTTCTTTCACTGACTTTAGAAGATGCCTTGGGGATAGGCCACAGCTAACTACTTCAGGATGAATACCATCCTAAGTGACTTAGGTTTCCAAAGGTATTTTGGCACCTACATTCCATTCATATGTATATCTTAATCCTAAGCACAGGTCATCATCTAKGTATAACAGTTCAATAGGACAAGCTAACCTAAAAATTTCTTATTTCCCCAAGGTCACGAAGGGGAATTGCATTTTCTCATGGCTGTTAAACTGAGTAGGGCAGTTCTGCTCGGCACTTCGGTGCCTGTGTCTGCTGGTGAGGCGTTCGCTCGCGAGGCCCTGTAAGAGGTGCAGAACTCTGCAGCTCACTGGTGCTTGGGAAGTGTCTGCATTTGTGTCCTGCTTAAGTGTCACACAGAGGTGGTGACAGTGCTCCTGCTGGAGGCAATGGCCAAACTCCCACTAATTTCACTTGGGGAGGCTTGGTGTTATATATGGTCTGCTTGTAACACTCCATAGCTTCTTATAGCATTGGAGCTTCTGGTAATAAAAGCTTCAATTATATGTTATTGTATCATATCTTATTGCTTTTGCAGGCAAGATCTATATTACAAGGTTTTCTAGAAGACTCTGGCCATACGATCAGTACGCTCAAAAGCTTTGATTTAGTTGGATTAGGAGCTATTCTCTGTGCTCTGAATTCCACAGAAATCATGTCCATAAGGAATACTGAATTCAGGTACCACATTTATTAATTAATGCAAAATTTATCAGTGTATCTACTGATAGAATTCATTGTGCAATTGTTTTCCTTCAATATTTCCAGAAACTAAAGTAGTCCTTTAATACTTTAAATGCTTTTTGAAAATTATTTTGCATGCTTTAACAATAACTGTTATAGAAGGAATATAGTCCTTGTTTAAAATAGATTCTGTTGCAGCTTTCCTCTGCTATTTATATTTCAAGTATTGTACTGAGAAACCTGGGCTTTTGCTTAAAGCATTCAACATTTGTATGCAATTTGTGTGTGTATATTTTGACTTAAAAATAGGTTTACACACTTGTTACAGCAGACTACATACCTTCAAGGCATATATAGCACTAGGTGCAATTGCAGCAGGTAGTGATAACCTTGTTGCCTTTTGCAGTGCTGCTGTTGCACGAATTGGATTGCTGTTCTGCAGCTCTCCTCTCCTAAAGCAGTTTAAGAAGATGGCAGAATCAGTGTTTGGAATTGCTGCCAGCTGGAACAGCTCCGTCCTACAGGAGATTGGTACCATAGCAGGTGATAGGTCTGAAGCATTATGAAGCATTAAGAGTCAGGGTTCACACAGCAATGTGTTCCTCTAGACTGGTAAAATGCATCTCCTCCGCAGAGGAGTCACCTGCAGGGATGGACAGGCAGACATTTCATTCACACTCGAGGGAAGCTGTGGTTATCTTCATGTGGCCCTCTGGGTCTGCTAGGACTGACTTTGTGGGGGGCAACCCACACTCACTATATTTTGAAAAACAGTACTGAAAAGTTCCAGTATATTAGATTTGCAGCACTTTTTTTTTTTTTTTTTTTTTTTTTTTTTTTTTCAAATGCTTCAAATTAAACTGTGCATTGCGCTTAACCTGTGAACTCCTTATTTGTGAACAGTGTTGCCCCAAATGTGACTAGATCAGGTTAGAGCAATGCTGTAGCTGATTAGTATCCTGCCTCAATGCTGGAAAAAATGGGCTGTCTAGGAAAGAGCAAAAGATTCTGCAGCGTGGCTTCTCCAAAATGCTCACAACTTCAGACATTTCCTGAGCCAGAGGTCGCAAACAGGATTTGTTGTTTATAGATTTTTTTTCCTGTAAATCTGTTTAATTGCACATTGAACCCATATAAATTTTAGCATCCCCTGTGCCTGGAGCAATTATTCCACACCGTAAATATGTAATGGATGAAGTACCTCCCATTATATGTTTTGAAAGCATTCCAATAACTTCACTAAACACTCCCTAAATCTTCTATTGGGAAGGCATTCCCTAATAATGCTGCTGAATGACTTTATAGATTTTATCATATCTCCCCTCAGTTGTCTCTTCTCCGTGACAAGGAGTTGTAGTTTATCTAGCGATCACTTAGGTGGAAGATATTCCATACTCTTGGTTAACTTCACATGGTTTGTMATGTTTGAATATAATAAAAGAAAACAAAATGAAAAGTTTTTTTATACTGGAGAAAAACAATTACTATCATCTTTAAGTACTTAAAAAATCTTATTAGTCTAAAAATACACCTAGTAAAATAATATTGAGGCCTGTTCCTGTTGTGTTTTTGTAGGTGGATTGAATGAGGATGAATTAAAAGCTTTTGATAAAAACTTGATGCCGTATTTCCAGCCAGCAGCAATAAGACATATACCTGCTGAAGTTTTCCAAGTAAGATTATGGTTACTGAAGAAGTAGCCAAATTTCTAACACTTTTGCTCTTATATAAATAAATTGCAGCACTGATATATGGTTTGATTCTGCTTTTCAGCAAGAATTTTTCTGTCGTATTAAGAGACAGTCAAGGATTCGAAACATTAACTTTCAATTAAATCATCTGTATTTGCAATGTTAACAAACACTATTTATTCTTCAGGAATATACATTTCAAGGAAAGGAGACTATGAATTAGTTTAGAAATGCAATTCAAAGATCCAGTTTCTTTCTTCTGACAATATATTCACCTCTAAGTTTTCTTCTTTGTTCATTAACTTTTTCGTGGTTACTATCATAGCTGCATTTTTTTTGCCCATAACATTACACAAGTTTATCATTACCCTAAAATCTGACAAAATTCTCCTGAGTAAACTCTGAGAAACAGATATAAATAGATATGGATCTGAAAGGAATTATATCTAATTATCGCAGTTTTGATTGTGGACCAGAAACTACAGCATAGATTTTGAGATCATTGCCACAGATTTTGATTTGGTGGCAAAATTAATATTCTATCTAGGCTGGTCTCTTTCAGATGCTCAGGCAAGCAGTGGTCATATGGACAGATGAGCTAAACAGACAGTTAACTCTGTCAGATTCCACAACAGAGAAAAAGTGACTTGCACACTGACTGTTCTGCACAGTACCACTGACAATTTAGATAAGCCTGAAATGTCCCTATGTCAAGCTATTTCTCTGGAAAATAGGCAAAGCTGGAAGATTATGTGATCCTGTAGAATTCTTTTCAAATAGTACAAATTCTTGTTAATACATATTCTTTTCATATTACAAAATATGCTTAAAAGTAACAGGATGCCTTCCCAGAAGAGTTTTCTCTAATTGAAGGACTGAAAGCAGATTTTATTTTTACACAGGTTTTGTATAAATTTATTTTAGGGCTGTGTACATTATTCAGACTATGATTTATGAAAAAAATGCATTGCATTGTGAACCTATTTTAGTTAAAAAGTTGCTGACTTCAAAATTCGGTACTGAAAGGCATTTATATGAGATTTGCTAGACAATCAAAAATTGTATCTGCCTTTTCATCTCACTGTTCTACCGGTGTCTCTAATGGAGGTCAAACGAAGGTTCACATGAGGTAGCTTGGGAACAGATGTAAGCAGAATAAATGAAAGTATGGGAAGGGGCACAGTACCATCAGCCTTTGAGTAAATCAGAAAGCAAGTGGTTGGAAAATTAAATTGCAGTAATCTATTGAAGCATTATCAAATACAGCATTGGCACTGGAAGGTGCTCAGGCTGTCCGAGCCACGCAGCAAAGAGGAGGGCAGCTGGTGCTCAGAGAGGTAAACGGAGGCAGAGGCCTGTCCAACTCCCCAGCACAGCAGTGCGCTGTTGCAGACCACTTCTCCTCATCCCAMATGCAAGGCAGTGCTGTCGATTCCCTACAGGATTTGTATTCGTACAGTATTCCCTGTAGTATTTGTGAGCCTAAAGCAGTGGTTCTGGCTCTCGTTCTCCCCAGGCACTGTCCCCAGCGCAGATAGCAAACCTGGGCCCTGCCAATGCCGCGGTGGTCACCGCGTCACAGCGTGAGCGGCTGAGCGCATCGCAGCTCCAGAGTCTTCAGCTGGCGCTGGAYGGGGCCAGGACGAGCACCCAGGAGACGCAGAGCAGCACGGGCAGCCCCCAGGTGGCACAAACCCCAGCTCCAAGCGGTGAGCACAGTCGCTCTCTCATCCCGTTTCTGGTTAGAAGGATCCAAATGTTGGAATTTGCTACACCGCTCTGTGGGAAGCCTTTGCCTCTCTGTTGGGTGGTGGAAGGTGGCTGAATTAAGACAGCATTAGCTTGAACTGCATCTTGGCAGTAATAGTAATGCTCTCTGCTTTTCAGGTGCACCCCCTTTGAACAGCTTCAGCATCTCGGTGTGTGCTGTGCTTATGCTTCCCCTGCCCTTCTGAATCTGTAATTGTCGAGCTGATGGTAAGTTGAATTTTCAGTAAGTGGTATCATTATAACAGAAACACAGCTCATCTGTGACAGTGATTGTGTAGCAGTAACAAGACATGGTGAAGGACTGGAAGAGAGACCCTCTCCTTGCTTTGAAAATAGAGATAACAATTTCTGAGTAATGTTTCTGTATTACAAAGGTGCCTTGTACCTCTCTCAGGCATAGGCTACCTTAGAATCTAATCAAGGGGAAAGCATTTTATCTTATCTTTACTGTAAGGGCAACCTTAAAATGTGTATATAAAGTTCTATGTACCCCCGATCAACTACAGTGTTGTTATCTGAGGCATGTTGTTGGTATTAACCTGTATTTTGCTTGTTCCAGTATATTGATAAGATTTTATTCCATGATTGCTTTGATAACCTCTTTCAATGTATTTTACCTATTGGAAGGATCAAATTCAGCTAGAACAGTGGTGGGTTTAAGTTACAAACTCCACCAGTTAAGCAAACCAAACACTGCAGTATTCTACTTAAAGGTGCAYTTAGAGAGTGACTTCTACTGTCACCCAAGGTATTTCAAAAGATTTGATATTTTTCTTTGCTTGTTTTTCAGCATTCTGGAGCTTGCAAAGGTGATAGCAGAACCAAAGAGTTGCAGCTCAGCATGATCAGTAGATGCCTGAGTGTGACATGGTTAATTTCTTAAAAGCAACACCTTCATCCAGCATCACCGTGTGAAGTATACCCTCCCTCTACCTTTAGCKTTCACACATAATACAGTATGCCTCCAAATGTTTCAGAACAAACAAAACTGAAATTGGCTTATATGACTCATAAGAAAACCACTAAAAGACTCATTCATATGTTAGAGAGGACTTAGAGGACACCTAGCAGGTGATTGTTACTCAAAAGGCAATGTATCCTCTTTTTTATGTTGGCTAATTTGGTCACACTGTTGTATCTGTTGTGGGCTTTATTCTTTTACTTAAGCATACATTCCTTGGGGCAGGGGCCAGCTTTGTGTGTGTCTTGTTAAAGACCATATTAAGAGTTCCTGCTGTTGCAATAAGATAATTTAATCTCTGGGTTGTTGGTCTAAATCCTGCTCAGATAAGGGATAATCATATGTTCTTGCCATTTAAGTGCCTGTGTGAAATGCGGTACCCAATGGCTGTATGGAAACAACACAGAGCTGTCAGCACCGAGGGCACTGGCAATACTGTTAGCACTGCATGCGACAAAATGCACTGTGGAAACCTGCCTGTCTTCATCATGAGACAGCCTCTTCTTCACTTCAGGCAGCGCTGAAGCGTTCAGTTGGGAGCAGTGTGAGCAAACTGTTCACCCAGACTACAAATATTGCCAGAACTATTCATACAGCATTCTCCACAAGCTCTAAAGCAGTAACTACAAAATAATATTACAAAATTACAATAATATTACAAAATCAATAATTAAACAACACAAATATTTGCACATGTTCCACCAACATGTCACATATGTAACCAGTGTGTTTCRTGTCAGGCTCTAGTATCTTAAACAACAGAGGAAATAGATGCATTAAAAATTCTTTGCCTTTGAACCTACGTTTTACTCTTAGTCAATATTGTTTTATGTCAAGAACTCATGGTACAATTTTTATTTTGCCACTGCAAAAGTCTTTTTCTTTCCTACTTTTAAAAGACAATGCAGATAACGCATAGATTTAAAAGTGTAGGTGTTCCTTATATGGCTGTACTATAATAAATGTATTTCAAACTATTATTCATTTTCCTTTCTGACAAGCATCACATCTAGCTTCTCAGCACTAAAAGTAGAATTTAAATTTTGCTACTGGGGAGAAATTTCTTGACAGTGAGGGTGACAGAGCCCTGGAACAGGCTGCCCAGAGAGGTGGTGAAGTCTCCTTCTCTGGAGACCTTTAAAACCTGCTTGGATGCAGCCCTGTGCCATGTGCTCTAGGTGACCCTGTGTGTGCAGAGGTTGAACTACATGATCTCTAGAGGTCCCTTCCAACTTTAAGCATTCTATGAATCTATGAAATTGAGCTGGGATGGAGAGCTGGAGGGAAAGGCCTGGGGCTGCAGGTTTGCTGGGGCTACTGGGGAAGGGTGAGTATTAGCTGTTACTGCTGTTGGGAATAACAACCCCCGCCATGGTCCCACATACTCCGTAATTCCTCTTGCAGCAGGAGCCATCCTCGTTTCCAGGGTTCAGTTATTGGCAAAGTGGGTAATGAGGGCAGGGCACTTTGTACCAGGTCCTGCTCCCTTTTCCCCCTGAGCAGTCAGCTCTAGTCCCCACCTTTGCCTCTAAGTAGCCCTGGCAAATGTGACATGATGTCACACGTAGTGTTACATGGTTCAGTTCTGCATTATGTGAGCAAAAAGCTGCTGCTATTACTGCRAATTGCCTTGCACCTTTTCTTTTGTGTGGAAAAGAAGATACCAGCTTTTTGCAAATGATACCAGCTTTTTGGCATGTAAATAGTAAATTTATTTATTTAAGTACGCAAAAAAAAAATCTTATTTTACCAATCTCAGGAAATACATGCAAAYACCCACTGAAACTTGAAAAATTTGAGTGAATCAAGTGTATTATAAAGTCATCTGTTTTCTTGCATTTAAAAACTCTGCCTCATTTAGATATGAAAGTATTGAAAGGTTGTTTGATTTCCAGAAATTACTTGCCTTGAATTCTGCAGACATTTCAGTCAAAATGCAGGAGAGTATTTTCACAGTCAAGGAAACAGTCTGTGTTTCCAGTTCATCTGTTAAACTCAGATACATGACTTAGCTATACCAAGTACTGCAGATATCTGTATGAGTTGAAAATGTTCTTCCTCAGTCAGTGTACCTGAAAGTAAATCAGTTTGCAATTATGTGAGTCAGAGTTTAGCATTTAATTGGAACAGGAATGAGATCTTTGTTTCATACCATCTGCACCATAATTTCTTTCTAGTGCAAGTGCTTTTACATTGTTGAACTCCTTGATTAATTATTTATTTTATTAAATTAGTTATTATGATAATGTCTGGTATTGCATTTACATTTGGTCATAGACATATCTATTTCTTACAAGGGTAATGAAGGAGCTCCCATTTAATGTTATACTAATTGCACGGTTAGCATGTACCTAACGTGATACTTCAAGTCCTATTTAGTCTGCAAGAAGGTTTGAGCATCTTGGCAAGTATTGTGGAAATGCAATTTTGCTTTTGCCAATGTACTTCCTTTAGAGGTCACTGCTGGAAATGCCTGTCCTACAAAAACTGCAGTTCAAGAAATTCCTGCTTCAGAACTCTTGAAAATGAATGTCTGTTTTCAAAATAGATAGGGAGGGACGAAAGTGATAGAGAGTACTAGAAATGAGTAGTGCATAATCTGTACTCTGTTCAGTTTGGCGTCTTTCTGTTGCTAAGAAGAAACTGAAACTTTGCTGTGATGCAAAACAGAGTAAGTAGAGGCAGGCATCCATGCCATATGGTACTGCTAGTCAGAAGGATCTCTAACCTGCACATATGTGTATAATATATATAATGAATGTGATTACTTTCACTGGAATGTGTTCATGGAAAAGACATCTCACAGTCGCTCTCTTCACACTATCGGGATTTTGAGGAAGAATATGTTGCAGTAAAACGTTGTATAAAGGTTTCTGTTATCCTGAAAGAAATGCTTTTTTTAGATATGGGTAAGGTTTGTTTAAACCAAACTTACTTTTCCTATATCCTTTTACTTCTTTCATTTATATTTTGAGTGACAAAACATTTAGTCACTAATACAGAAATCTGTGCTGAATATATGTCATGATAATCTCATTTCCTAACCTGCACATTGTGAGATTGCAGCTCTGCTCTCCTCTGGGCACTGCAGGACCTCGGAGGGACAGACCCGTGACTGCTGGTGTGGATGTGACCCTGGGGTGCTGTGAATCAAGTGACAGATGGCAGTGCCCGACAGTATGTAAGTGGGGGCATTTCATTTAATTGATTTAACCAGTTGKGGAAGAATCCATAGGAGACTAACCAACAAAATGTAGTACCGTGATTTCTTATCATTTTAATGTTTGCCACTTTTATATTCAGATTCATAGTTGAAAAAGAAGAAAGGGCTTATACCTCTGAATCAGTGACGGAGCAAAAAACCCTAGCACCTGATCCTGAGGAATRTCACTTAGGGAATCTGGCATCTTTAAATCCCTGAAGATAAGAAAGCAACTGCCCATGCACAGTGTCAGAAAAGCGTCCCCGGAGAGCTGGCGCGATGGCTGTTGTCAGTTTTCATACAGTGCTTTCATACAGTGGCATGTTCGGCTTCCAGTGATCTCAGTCTGTCACATCAGAGCTAACCAAATTTTACCCATGTGAGGCTCTAAAGATGCAGCTTTAAAAAAAAAAATGTAATGATGTCCTCCTTTAATTTTATCCACTATAATCTATATAGTAGATAAATCTGTATAGTGTATAATCTATTCAGATACYCCAGGGGCGACTGTGTACTGCACTGTGGCGTAGGTAGCTTCTTGTTTGACTGCCGTACCTGTCTCCTAGGATCATCACCACCTGATTTGTCTTCCTATAACACTGTCAACGAGATTGGAGTCCTAGCAGATCACACCATGGCCTTACTAAGCATTCCCATCCTGTCTCCCTGCAGCAAAGCAGCGTCGTGGAGCGGCTCAGGAGGCCTTCCAGGTGTGCCAGGCGGATGCGGTGCCCCGCAGTCACCAGAGAGGTTTGACTAGCTCCAGTGATGCTCATCTGGCAGCCCATAGACAAGCCAGGAATCCAGCATTTAACTGCCATGAGTCACGTTAGTAAGTAAACCCGTAGCATGGTGAATTTGCCGGTATCCTGGCTGTTAGTGCACAGTGGGGCTGATAGACCTGCGTGCCTAGGAGCGCACACAGAGCCAATTCCAGCACRTCGGTGAAGTGGTAGCTTGTTAACTGCACTAGCTCATTCCCTTGTGATAGGTCATCATTATCCTTAGAGAGAAGTAAACATTAAATTTCAACTAATTTCTTTTTTTTTGTTTTGTTTTGTTTTTGTTTCTTTTTGTTTTAGAAATGCTGATACTCAGTCTTAAGCAATGTGATCTCAGTGAAAATGTTTTTGATAAATGATGGACTTCTTTTTTTGCAAGATCTGTAGATTCATGGGCCCACCATGTCAGGGGGAATAAGAGATTTATTTCACTGCCTTATATTTCTGCCTGGTAAAACACTCATTCCCATGCCATATTCTGAGGCATGACCCTATGGATTTCTCACTTTTCCATTCTGCTTAGGTCGGAGATCTGTCTTCTAGTAAGAAGCCACGATGGAATCTGAATAGAGAAGACAAGTCTGCAAAGAATAAAAACAAACTGCTAACATAAACTACATTCCTCTTATCAGCACCCTAATTCATAGTTGAAATGTTTGAAATCTTTCCTCAGAAATATTAGACTCTGCTTTGTGGATTGCTATGTGGCCTGCTTTAAAATGTGCAGGAATTAACAACGTGCAGGAATTAACAGTCTCTTCAGAGGACAAGCTAAGTGTATGTGCCAGCCAAGGACTCAGAACTTTTTATTTTGGTCAAGTGTCTGGTCCATTATAAATTGTCTGTCRGTATCTGTCTGCTCTTGTCCCTGGACAAGAGAAATTATCTCSGACACTGCAGCTGATCTCAGCTGGCATCAGGCTAGTAGCAGTTTTGTAGCATACGGTACCTAATCTGTCAAATTAACACCTGGTTCTTTAATGCTGCCCTGAAGTATGTAGTCTGGAAACGTGCTGTATTTTGTCTTTGACAACTTTGCAAGCAGCCAGTGTCCATCTGTCTCTTCTTGCCCCTTCCTGTTCAGCATTAGTGTGTTTTTCCAATCGGGATTAGTAAGAGGATTTTCTTGCCCTCATGATGCAGGAACACAAGGCATGTTTGAAGCTTATAAACAAAGTATCTGTACATTGCAGCATTAATGGAGGAACTGGAATGCTGKASTTCTTGCTTTGGTGACAACAGTGCAATGTTTATCTTTTAACATTTTAGCTGCTATTAATTAGCCTTACAAATATTTAATGGCATCTCACAATATCTGAAAGCATCATTTTTAAGGAGAAGCGAGGACAGGGGTGAGCTGCCAGAGGAGAAATCTAAAAATATTGGAAAATTCCAGTCTGCTGCAAATACAGCAGGGTTTTCTTTTTCTGGTACTCTTTCCCCAAGAACTTTTAACCATGGTATAGAACTGAATTGATTTATCAAGGACTAGGCATTGATCRTGTTGGTTTAAAGCACAAGCTAAAGCAGTCCCAGGTTATCCTTATCTGCGGCGTGATGTGTTTCTACATTTAATCAGATGTCAGAAAATAACTTGGATTACAAACAAGCTCTGACTGTATCCTGCAGGAACTGAGAGAAGGGTCTCTCAGAGAAGGGATATCTGGCAGAGAAGGGATATCAGCTCCTCGCCTTTGATACACCTGTTAGACTACCTGACAGTTACACACATCTGTCAGGTTTTTTATTAGATACTTCTATTGTGGTACTCGTCCTTTTATATTGTTTACAGATAACACTCTAAATGTACATATCGCTATCAAATTTATGTCAAACAGCTAATCTAGCTATTCTATACAGTGCCCTAAATCATAACCTGTATTTTTTAAGCTTGTAAATAGTGATGGAAGTGCCACAGCACTGCAGTCAGAGAGCTTGTACGTATTTAGTTGCACTTGTCCCATGGCTGCAATCCATA